ATCTGCGAGGTGGACCAACCGCTCTGGAACGGCTGCATCCACGACAACAGGGCAGTGGTGTACAGGATGGCCTTGGGCTTGATGAGACGAGCGGCGGCCTTGTTGGCCTCGTCGAAGGCCGTGATGGGCTTGGGTGAGACTGCCTCCGCGTAGTTGTTAGGAGTGCTTTCAGCCATAGTTGACGACTTGCTTGACTAACCGACAGTTGCCTTGAGAAGAAGACTTGTTGGTGGAACTTGTACAAATTGAAAGTGAGCGGTGCTGCGGTAACCGCGAACAGCATCGATTGCCGCAGCGTGCGGGTTCTTTGCCGAACCTTGATGAAAGTCTCACTTGATACATTTGACTTTTGACCAGATTATGTGGTGCTGCGTTTTCATGCCGCGCCGTATGTTGGATTTGGAATCGAGTGAACTCGACTTGACGCTCCGAATCCGAGTCCGATGTGTACCTTGAAGTTTTGTAGAGCGTAGGGTTTCGGAATAAAACGACTTTATTATAGCGGTGCCGCCGAAGACAAGAGAATGGATGGTTGGAGTCACAAACTGATGCTTGAGCTTTGTAAATTCGATCGAAGAATCGCAAGAAATCGATCCTCCGCGCGGTGCGCCCGCGTATTCGTCACTGCTAGTCTCTTCTCTTGCTTGTTGTTGGATGTTTTCTTTCTGCTTCAAGCAGGGAGCGTAGAGAATCGATCTCGAGTTGGTATTCGAACGACCTGTCGAACCAACGTCAATCGCTACCAATGTGGCTTTCTGAAGCTCGTTCTTTTTTGCATGCAGAATGCTGCTTGGGCAACCGGCTTCCATATGATTCCTGGGTGCGAATCTGCTCAGGTGTCAGTGATTCATTAACAATGACACCATGTCTGGCACGAAGCCACGCAACAGAGATGCAAACTCCAAGAATTAGCTTCCTGTGTGTCTGTTGCAAGTTTCTCGTCAGATGCAGTACTACTTGGCTATGAAAACAATGCATACGAACTATTACGAGCTTTAATCGTTGTAATTTTGTCCGAATGGTTTCCAGGAAGAAGAGGAAAGCTTATGATCAAATCGCTTTCAAAAATTTTGGTATCGAGAGTACTGGTGCGTGTATGCTCGCCATTCTTGTGGCAACAAGGTAACTACAACATTGGTGAGTATTGCGTTTTAGCACTAAGCTATCTTTTCTCTAAGTGCAATGTACGGCAGCGCAAAGCAAAGGGAAATCATTGAGGACGCCGTCCAAAAGTAAAACATGCTCACAAGAAATATTTTACTTTTTAGACGACGTCCTCGACCTTCACTAACCTGCCAAACGACATATAATTCATTGATTGTCCCATCACTCTTCTTAATTAAAGTTAATTAAAAAATAGTACGGGTATTGTGGTATAATAGTTTTGTAGCACATGAACGAAAATCCAAAGAAAAACCACAAATTCTATTATCATTTTGTCAAGAGAAGACGCGCTATCCAACAATATCTCTCTCTCTTTTGCCTTCGCTTGATGCACTGCAGTTTCGTAGTCCCTAAGCGCAAGTAGACCCATTCTAGACAGTTTAATAACAACTCAGTTGTGCTCTCACTGCTACGTAGTAGTTATGTTAGTTGTACGAGGATGACTTTTTTTATTTTATGACTCGCGTGTTCAACGTTGATGAAAATTCATTCGAAAATTCCCGTAAAACAACACGCTTGGTAGCTCTTAAAGGGTAAAAAAAAGGTTTGGCACACTGATCCTACCACAAGCTTTCATCTCTCTATTGTAGCGTGCGGTAGCGCTGGAGGCTTTGTCGTGCCTGCTTTATTTGTTCTACCTGGTGAGTGAGTAGAAAATGAAGTTCTTGAGCAATGTAGTATACCTGGAGCTGCAGTTACAACTTCAACAAAGGCGTTTATGACAGCGACTCTAATTGCTAAATATATCTTTTTTCGCTTTTGCTGTTCCTACATCTGTCAAACGACCACTACTCCTCGTCATGGATGGATGCGCATCCCACATTGCTGAAGAAATCGTCGAGACCGCCGACCGGATGCTTGTCAAACTGGTTTGCCTCCCCGCAAACGGCACTCACTTACTGCAACCATTGCACGTTGCGGCGTTCTCTTCGTTTTAAAACACACTCCACGATCTCATCGACACTGTCATTCTTTCCAACGGTTTTAATGTGATCAGCAAGGAAAAAATTCTCCAAGTGGCAACTCTTGCGTGGACAAGTTGCAACTTTAACAACAACATTTCCTCAGACTTTCGCAGCTGAGGAATTTTCGCCTTAAATCTCGTAAAAATGCACGAAACACTACACAACTTTCAAGATAACGGCGTCCCCATGTCCTTAAAGAAGACCGCGTGGTTGCTCTTCGAGGAAACAGTGCAGCACCATATCCTACTTCTACCTCTTCGTCAACACAAGCAGGGAAAAAAGAGGAAAACTAAGACAGTAGCCGGTAGATGGTTAACTCGCAAGGTGCTACAGCAACCAGATGAGCCTTCTCAAGCAAAGATTTCGAAACGAACACGAAACCCAGCGAAGAGTAAAAGACCTAAAGAAAAAAAAACAACAGCACGAGATCAGCGTCAGGAGCAGAAGTGCAAGCAAGAGCAGGATATCCACCAAGAGCAGGAACACGAAGAGGAGCTGGTCCTCGGCCAGGAAGAGCAGCAAGCAGAGTTATTGACGACACAGAGCAGCCACAACGATCCAGTTTTGTTTGTTGCTAACTTCTAGGTATTTTATCCTTTTAATTAATATTATTCATACTTTGATCCTTCACAATATTATCATTCTACAGAGTGTAAATCGGAATTTACATAAATTCAAGTGTACTTGCAGGACCGCACATAAACAGACTCTATCCATACTCAAACCAAGTTTATTTTTGAATTAAACTGGCACACCACGTGGTTTCAAACCGCCATCGTCAGCTAGAAAAATAACTCGTTGCCTTGCTGCGCTTGCCAGTGCACTCCGACCGCTGCAGTACAAAATTTTCAGAAAGTGCAAGCCGTTTCGTTGCATATGTATGCCCCCGGACGACGCTCAAATACACCAAAAATAGCCACCAGAAACTGATGATCAGAGCTTAGCTTCTTTGTTCAATTGTGGAATTCGATCAACTCCAATCGAAGATACACAGAGTACGGTTAGTGGTGCGCCTGATTGCAGCAATGCTGCGCTAGCATAAATGCACATTGAGAGACCCCAAGCAAGCGCATGTTAATAGTACAGCTACGACAGGGGATACGGCTGGGATACAGTCGGTGTCCCTTGAGTCGGTGCAGGAGCCACAAGTTCTGCCGGCCGATGGATCGCTGGAAAACAAAACGATTATCGCAACAGTTTGGATCTAGCCAAAGCCACCACCTTGTCGAGACAAACGCTTCTACCACCAAAAAGACGATCTTTGATTTGCGGACTCCAATAGTTCGCATATTCTTCTTTGTCTAGTAGTGCCATGTACAGTAGCAATTAAAAAAAAACGCACGCTCTCCTGCAGTGAAAACAGTGGACTAGTATTCAAGTGATTGTCCAGTTCATAGTAATACATGGCAGTGTTGGTTTGGCGAAAAATTCAACCCAGAAATACATAGGAATGTAGGCGAAGAACGATGATGATGCCGGCTGCTCAAACAGGGGGTGGTACTGAATTCTAGTCTTTGCGTTCATTTCCGAGCTGAAATAGATCCACAAGACCCTCAACATGAGTGGAAAGGTCCAACGTCGCATTCGTGAAGCTTTATATATTGTGCATTGCTGAAGAAGTGTCACATCCGGTTCATAACGCCGGTACTCGCTTTCGATCTCTTCATTATCACTTGCGTCATCCGGTATCTCTATCTCAAATCGTTTGGGCAGGTAAAGTGATCGTCAGGCTGGTATGGTAGGTGAAGTCTGATGTTGCGGTAGTTTTGGATCCTATGATGCACGACACTAACGCCAACGTACTCGTCTTGCCTCTGAAACGACGTGTCCAGCCAATGTATCTCCAATAGTGTCTTCTACTTGCCAAAAACGAGTAGCACGACCAACAATGTAAGCACGTCCAGCATCGCTATACACTTTCTTCGTTTTCAACCATGCCTCATAGATTGGCAGGCCTCTATAATTGAGGGAAAACGGTACATTTCCCTCGGAGTACCTCTATTAAATTCTCTTATCGTCCCTCGCTAAAACTGGCAAGTTGTTAGGTGTGCTAATGGGCCCAGTGCCAACACATTGCCAATTTGATGCGAAAATATCTGTCCGATGCACATTAAGGAGCAAACGGTTATGAGATATTCATATCAGGGAGAGCCTGCTATTAATAGCTTACAGAAGCCATTTTCTAACATTTAAGTCTGGTGATTTGTTAAATTTTTCGAAAGGAAACGAGCGGCGACGGAAGGCTTCTAGCTACACGTGTTTAAATAACGATATGCCGTGAACGTTGAAGACACCTTTCCAGCAAGAACACGACGTTAGATATGATTTAGACATCTCCGAGCTGCACCCTGAAACGTCTGCAGTACTAGCCGTAGCATGCAAGTTTTGAATCAAATTTGGCCGTGAAGCCAAACCTGGAGAGACGCGGAAGAAACCACGAACGTGCAGTACTTATATTTGCTGTGCGTATTGTATGTACGGAATGCAGGCGCGATGCAGACTTACTTAAAAAAAAAAAAACAAGACTGAAGGCAGCAGGGTGGAGCACTGCACGAACTACACAGATTGAAAGCGACCACCACAGCTTATAAGAGCCGTTGGAGAAATATTATTGCGAAGAATCTGGACAAGTGCAGCGACAGTAACACAACTTTGAAGATAGATGGAAGCTTGTGAGCGGGCGATTTCAGACGCTGCAGAGCTTTTGTGGGGCCCTAGTTACATCTTTCTGCCTCGGTAAAGTCTGGTTTTCAATCACCGGCTGGGAACGGCGGTGTATATCATCAATCTCTAACCGATTTCTCCTTCGAAGGATTTTAACACCCGACGCTGTTCCGACAAGTGTCGACACTTGATATTATATATGGATACATTCATTTATACTTACTTATACTAAAGACTATGAAGTCCCTCACTATCTCTCTATTACCTTGCCTCCTGGTCCCTCTAATAAGATAATAGGGAAAATGAAAAAAATCCTCAATTAAAGAGGCCAGTAGATTGGCGAAGTACCGCAAGCTTGTCAACATAGATACGACCACAGCTGGAATCGAATTTCTTCCAGGTGTAGAAGCTCGCTTCTTTCTCGATGTTGTGGTCGATAGTGCAGAGCTATAATAGGTGTGCCTTCGAGGGCAGCTACAACATCAGCAGCACAGCCTGGTGGCGTCAATATCTGAAAGGTAGAAGTCAAACTTCACATTCTCTTTCTCGACGGCTCTGCTTTTCACGCTCGCGGTGGGCATGTTTTCGATGATCCGTGCTGTTTCTTTGTATGGCCTTTGCTGATGATGTTGGCCTTGAATATGCTCGATAGCCCGTCGTTGACAGTCCAAGCTGATTCTTCTGTTGTCCAGTAGCAGTCGCTAGGTCGTGTTGTTACTCTCATTTCCGACTTTTTGTTGAACAGGGTGGCCAGCTTTCGCTATGCTATTCAATTCCGAAATCGATTTGCACAACATGGTGGACGCTATCGAGGCCGCAATCATCCTTCGTTTGCTCTTGCACGTACAGCCTCAGCACACATCCATATGTCTTTTCGCCTCCGCCGTCTGGTTCAGATAGCAACCACATAAACGACCCTGGAGGGCAGCGCAGCCTGCTCGCGGTCGCCATTTCAAATAATGTAATGATGAGGTGTAGGGGCATACAAGCGGTTAGTTGAAACTCACAATTTCAATACTAAAATGGAAAGATGTACGACGTGGTCCATTTCGCAAAAGGACTCACGAATCAGCCTTTATTGATAGTGAACCCAAGATATAAATGGTGAACTCCAGCGTGGGAATGAATCTCCATCGTTCCACGATCCATAGCAAACTAGTATTCAAAGAAGCGTGGTAGAAGGAGAGCATAGAGTCGCGTCCGCAAAGACCGCGAGCGCATAAGACAGGAGTTTGTGAATGGCTCGATCAGAGAAAGCAACTTACTGTTTTCGTGACAGCTGCAGTGTTGTGGCTTCCTATCGCGTTGCCCCTGTTGGTAGCTTCGCTGTCCTACTCACTCTCTCACTAGCCGTTCGTGCCCCAGCGACGTTCACCTTACATGTTCCCAGTGCTCTTGCTGGAGATGGCAAACTGTCGTACCGCCTGCTTTTCCACGTTGAGCAACATGGCGTAACGCGATGTACTTGGTCATCTCCGAGTTGCCCAAGTCCTTCTGCGCTACCCGCTACTTGTCGTCCTCTCTGTTTGATTTGGTCTCGACGTCAGGTGCACAAGGTGTCGTCCGACCGAGACCAAGATACTCGATCTCTCTAAGAAGGGCTCGATGCGGTAACTCAAGGACTCCTTCGTCTTGCACAATCTTAAGCCTTGGACGCGATGGCAGTAGAGTGGAGTCTCGGCGAACAGGGCACATTATCGGATGCGCGTAATCCATCTTCCCTCTACTTTTGCGTGGCAACTACATGTTATTCTTACAAGGAAATGATAGTTGCTTCTAGTAATGTTGTAGCATGAGCTCTTTCAGATACACCGAGCCGGGGGTTGGCTTTGAGTTTTGTATGAATAGCTCCGGTAGAATATACACAGCAAATGCTGTCTAGAAATGGCTCTGTCGAAAACTGTGATGCTGCGCACACTGTAACACTGCATTAAAGCTCTGTTCAGACAGCAGTACACATCCGCGAATAGAGAGATCCAAACCGTGATAGTGACCTGGTCCTGGTCCTGGTCGTGAGCTTGACGCAGATGATGGGCCGGTATCGAGTGGCATCACAGTCATAGATCGATGGACATTATTCGGTCAATCTGAACGAGTTTTAAAAGGGGCTAGTACAGTTGCTTTGCATAGCCGTCCTTCATCCCAACAGTATCTACTTGAACGGCAGTGGCCGAGCGTTCGCAATAGTCTTTCCGAAGGAGCTACTTCCGTACCTTTTGGATCCTCATGTTTGTAAATTGTATATAACGATATCAAGACGATTGCGAAAGGGTTAGTATAGTTTATTAGGAGTATCGATGTTCATGGGTATTGTTGTACTGTATCACTGTACATTTGTGAATCGACCCTTTCATGAATGTGTATAATAACGAAATATAAACACCCTGGCCGTTCATCCACGAAAAATGAAACACAAATTGGATCCCCCTTAGCTCTGAAATAAATTCATAGAACACTCGTAAATAACAACGAAATTGAAACTTACTTAGCACAAGTACCGTAAATCATGGCGAAAATATAACCTCTCTAGAAAACCTAAACGCGTAAATAGTTTTACGAAGCATAGATATGCCACATATCTTCAAAATGAGGTTACTACATGACCATATTATCCGCGTTTTACGACGCTACATGTTTCCCGTGATTTACGGTATTGGTTTACCAAGTTACATAATCAATATGCTCTACGAATTGGTTCACTTAGAATCATACTCGCGTGAAAATCGCATGAAAACATAAACTATATATTTAGAAATCCAGGAGGTCCATATTATTGTCACCATAACATTCAGATAATATTCTTGAGATTATGCATATTTTAGTATTTGTCTGGTGTTGCGACCGTATAAAAGAAACTAAAACCAGCATCACAAACGAGTTTTGTTTTTCTTTAGGACCGTGTTAGCTTCACCAACTGATTTGCATAGACGGGACGAGCTTCACCAACAGTGACCAAGTAAATAATTGGTATTTTCATTGGTGGGTCACCAACTGATCACCAACGGTGTAATTTATTCTTTTTAAGTACGTAGTATATCTAAGTGCGATCTGATTTCTCTACGATTGGGAAGCTTTTAGAGATCTTTTTGATGTCGCAGGAATGTTGATAGAATGTTACGGCTACTTGTGATATTGAAGTGATTTATCGTCGCGGTTGGAATCGAGCTGTGCGAGCGAGCAGTACGAGCAGTTTTAAAGCTGCAAGTAAAAGCACCATCATTAACCATGAAACTGAATGAAGTTTAAAGTGAATGCATTGAGTGTATTTACTCTCTGAGCCCTGGACTTCTACAGTATGCCCCCTTTGTCGACAGAAAAAAAATATCGAAACCGAAAATACGCGATGTGCTCACTGGAAATATTTGGAACAGGAATTCACCGTATCATACACTCGAAAAATAGCAGTACTAGTGGCCCACAGTTGTTTGTGTCTTCCTGACGTGGTGCTCGCTGTCGAATCGGCTCTAGCTCAGTTGCGTACTCCCCGAAGTACTCATCCAGCACCCTTGTAGTACTTTGAAGTTTGCATGGGCTCGAAGATGATTGCTTTGCTATTCTCGTAGTCAAATACCGCGCCAGCCCAATGACCATCAATATATATGGGTATAAGAACGAGCCGGTTGCTCGTATTGAAAGACGACGAGGTTATCATCTCCTTCTTCATGCTTCCATGTACTCTCGCATACAGTGGATTGACCCCTCCAATTCGACTCTGACCGTTGTTGTCCAGATCTTGATCCATAAGATGGCTTATCGCGACACGTAAACACCCATCGTCCAGCCACTTCGAACGTCGAAAGTACGCCAGTTCGTGCATGACACCCTTACTAAAACGGTTTGAAATCGCTTTGTTTACATCGACCGCCTCCAGTCGTGTAGCACATGCCTTTAAATCCACAGTAGCACAGTTGTTCAAAGTGTAGATACAGCTATTCTTGAAAACTTGGACGCTCTTATCCATGAACAACGATCTCTTACAGCTTCAAGTTTTGGTATCTCATTGTGCCAATCTCTCATCGTAAGCAGGTCCTTTTCAGCATATGTGCCTAGTTTTTTTTTCTATAGACACCCCCATTTTCCCAGCATCATATTCACTTGGAAGAGATTTCCTGTAAGTGTGTATTCCAGTGATACACTTGCTAAGGTAATTCTTCGCAAAAACGATCGTGACTTTCTGCTGAACTTCTTGCTTCCGTGCAAGTTGAACAATTGAGGTAGCACTCCAGGAAGGTGAGCCCACCTCCTCAATGCTAGCTAAAAATGGGTGAAGCATCCGTCACGTTGAGGCTGCGAACAATCGTCTTGCGTACCAGAGACAAATCCTTCACTGGAACAAGTGTCCCCTGAACCAGGGCATTGATTTCTGCAATCGCCTCACTCATCCGGATTCGTTTGGCTTCGCGTTTTTGCTTTCTTCTAATTTTGGACCTGCCTTTGCTCTTGACACTTGCACTAACGCGAAAGCTGCCTGGTGTGACTTGATTTCCAACTTCTGATGCCTCGTCCTCTCCGGAACTTATACGGATAGTTTGGCGTTTACGACGTATTAATTTTCCATTCAGCACTCCCTTCTTTGTCTGTTTTTTCAGATGCGTTCTGGCGCTCCCTTTTCTTTTTGCTGTTGCCATTGTTCACCAACTCGTTGGTGGTGGTTACCAACTCATTGCCGTGCTCAATGTCGCTCACCAACTGGTAAGAGTCGTGTACCAACGGGTTGGTGCTGCTCACCAAAGGGTTGGAGTCGCTCACCGACCGGTTGATACCTTCAGGTCGCATGTCATCATTGTCTGACGAAACCACGTCTTCCAGCTGACGAAGAATTCTATCAGTTTCAGCGAGTAGTGTATCGGTGTCCGTCGTCTCAATCTCAATTCGCTCGTGAGTCACACCATCAGGTATTTCATCCCTCGATTTCGTCATATCTTCTCCGTCATTTTCACGTAATTCGACTGTCTGGAGAGTAGGCAGTACTTCCGATTCTGCGTCAGAACCACCGTGGTCAAAAACAGAATCGACCACTGTGGAATTTCGAGGTGCGTGGTGTTCACTCTGCTCGTAATTACCAATAATCGGAACAACCCCTTCATTTGCACACTCCCCAAATCTTCGCAACGAATTTGCCATTTCAAGGAACGTCTGCGTTCCGTGAAATCTCATCACCTCGACAACGTGTTCTGCAATCTCCATTGCAGTTTTCCACTTCGAAGATCTATTTAGAACTGCGTGTTCTGTTGATTCATGTTTGAATTCTGGATGCAAAATCCAGGGCACGACATGTCGTCATTTGACTCATCATCTTCAGGTCGGTTGGCGTCTGATCCCAACAGCCACCGCGGGTTAATATAGTTGATCGGAATCAACTTCTTCTTCTTCATAAAGAATCTTGCAAATATCGTGTGGCGACAAGGAAGTAGCATTGTGCGCATGAAGAAACAAGTGCACGCATATGTCTATAATATTCCAGTATAAATTAACATGATGTAAGTTAGTGACAACGTGAAAACAAAGTTGCCGTACCACTTACCGATATATTGACTTCGTATTTACTGCTGGTTGTTCTGATACCAACTGAGAAATCCATCTTGGATCCAACGAACGTCATATGCGATAGATCCCCCCCCCCCCCCCCCCGCCCCTTTGAATTGCTCATACTCTCTTCGAACAAGCTCGAACGCGTGCGGACTTATTAATGCAGCCAAACGCAGGAGAATGTCGTCAGCGCCCCGGTAATGACGTGATCCTACCACGCGAAATTTAGCTGCATATTCCATCTCTGCTGTCGATTGCAGAAAATGGAGTGTCTCGACACATTCATCCAGCTCCATCTCAGATTTGAGTATGTCCTTGAGGTCGCCCCAAGCAGATTATAATCTATCGTATAAATTAAAGTTAATGTCGTTTGATTACCTTGCAAAAGCAACAGATTTGTAGCTCACTGATTGTTAGTATGGTTCCCAAGGTGAGGGATATGTCCACGCTCGTAAACGGCCCACATCTCTTTGCAAGAATGCCAGTTGCGGATAAAGTAAACAAGAAGAGGATGCTTCGGATCCGGAAGTTCTTCCTTTTCATCGAACCCGTCCAGGATATAGTACAAGTAGCGCAATCCACGATTGTACTCTCTGGTATCTTGTTATTTGATCATCAAGTCTACAGCATCCTCCACGCGATAAAAGTAACGGGGTTGAGGCCACAATACACGGATTTGGCCATCTCCGTACGTAAATACTTCTTCAAGTGGAAGTGCCAGCGGAAACGTTCGCTTCAAGAGGCTACTTTCACGAAAGTTCTTGTCAGTCATTGCAGCGGGGCTGCCGTAGCTTAGCGTCAGAGGAAGACGGTTAACTCAAAGAGTAAAGGGGTTAACTCAACACCCTAATTAGGTTAATAGGTCCTTAATATCCGAAGGCACCTACTAACGATAACCTTAACAAAAGGGAACGTTACTCTTT